TTAAATGGACTCTGCATGCAATGGTGAACGGACATTGAGAGTCAATTCATTTGTTAATCCCTGGAGCTGCCACACATTCTAAATGAAGCTTCGCATTGCACTCGTCAATATTGATGACCCCTGGCTAAAATTGACCTTAACGGCTTGTTCACTGAATGTAGCGGTCTTTCCTGCTTGTTCGCTGGACCCGAATGCCCCAGGCATTAAACCCTCCGAGGGGAGGGCCAGGAGGGGAGAGAGATGAGCCAGGAGTTCCTCCATGCGCGGCTGACCCACGCCGTGCCAGCCTTCAAAGAGCAGTGGGCGATGGAGGAGGCCGTGTGCTCGGTGGCAGATGACGGGGAGCTCTGCATGCTGATATGAGCTACCCGTCGGAGGCCGTCGGACTGCAAGAAGAGCTGCGTGCAGAACGAGAGAGAGAGCGAGAAAGAGAGAGCGAGAGAGTGAGCGAGAGGTGGGGGTTTTACATAAAGCTAAGTAAAAAAAAATGTTTACGAAATTATGAACGAAGCAAAGTGCCGAATACACGGAGCATCTTCTTGTTTGCACTGATCGTAAAAAAGAGAGGAGCCAGAGGAGGGAGGGGGAGCCAGGAGGGGCGAGAGAGACAGAGGAGCCAGAGGGGGGAGAAGAGCCGGGAGGTAGGCGGGGGTGCAAGGATGAGGGGAAGAGATAATCCAGGAGGGGAGAGGAGACAGGAGGAGGGAAAGAACGAGGAGGGGGCGGGAGTCAGGATGGGGAGGGCGGGAAGAGCCGGCTGGGGGAGCCTGGAGGGGAGAGAGGAGCCAAGAGCGGTGGGGGAGGAGTGAGGACGCTTCTCCCCTCCACTAGGGAGAGGAGGCACGAATTTTGAACACGTTTGAAACGCGTTTCTCTCAAATGGAGAATTGAGAGAGGAGTAACGCGGAATCCCATTGTCGCCACGGCAATCCAGGAGACCTGCCTCGAATATCTGTGATAACTTCGAAGCTGTGAGTGACAAACCTTACCAATTGGCTGTGTATGGGTGGTGCCGGGTTTAACGACACATTTATATTTACGCGATCTAACCCCCCCCCCCCCCAAAAAACCTATATTATGGATGATTTTGGTCGCGGAAGCCTGCGTGTTAAACTGTGAGTGAACTTGCTGATTTAATTTTTTTGAACGGTAAAGACCCGTGGCGGCTTCGCGCCTCGTGGTCAGCCTCGTTCTTGCGTGGAAGTGCCTCGTGGCCTCTGCCAGGGGACGACACAAGGGAGTCGGCTCCGCCTATCGTGCCCACTGAGTATTGTAACCTTGACAGGTACGGGTGGGAACCACCTCGGTGCCGTAGCCCAGAGTTTCAAAGGATAGAGAAATTGAACGATTGCACAGACTGATTGGTTTCGCTTGCATTTACGAATTGATACAATGTTGAACCTCTACATCATTGGAACTCCTTTGCCAGTACCAAAATATGAGAATAGGTTTTCCCCTTTTTTTCTAGCAACAAAACAGGTGTTAAGATGTTAAAAAGCCAAACTGAAACCTTTTACAAATAATCATGTCTGCATTAACCACAATACTTGTGGTCAGAATGCAAAAAAATGTACTCTGATAAAAAAAATGCATTGTCTTTGAAACTGATTGGTCCACACCAGAGACAGCTTTCTTTTGAGCCGAGTCTCAAAACGGTGTTAGACCAGAGAACGCCAAAAGTATGCCTTAACACCTGTTTTGTTGCCAGAAAAAAGGGGAAAACCTATTCTGAATGTCTAGCCTAGCGTTTAATTAATGATGCAATAGTTTAGTATTGTATCAGTACATTCTGCTCTTCGATTTGCACCGGGTGTACCATACAGGACCCACCATTGTGACCTCTACTAAAATCCAATCTTACATCACGTGATGCAAGACTACATCTACATTGGTCCCTGTTCATCCATAAAATCTGAGCTATACTTAGCAAATTCATGATCATTTAACTCACTCTGTCTGTTGTTGTCGTTGTTGTCGTTGTTGTTGTATCCTCAAATCTTGTAACTCAATTTTAATCCACTTCCCAATGTGGTATCGACTGCAAACTTGGAATACTTATGTCATACTGACGACAGTACTATATCCTATCATAAAAAATACAAAATATATTTTTCAACATTATTTTTTATATGTTATGTTTCGGCTTGGGTCTAATTGTCCACGCTCAACTGACGTTGGCTGTAATTGGCCACGATCCCTTACGTTATGGCAAGCTTCGGGGCCACTTCCTGGAGTCGTGGAGTTCTTCCATTACTAGTACATTTAATAAAAGCGTGTTTCTAAAAAAGTTTTTACAAATGTTACTTATTTCCTTTTAAATGTCAAAGGAAAAACCAGTCTGTGACTCGACTCTGCCTCGTCTTCGGCGGTGGAGGATTGCTTCCTCTGCTCTTGAGGGGCCACTTTGAGAGGGAGGTTTGGCATTGGGCTTTTCGGTGTCTCCAGAATTTCACCTTTTTAGTGGCGATAGCCCCAAAACATTCCCTTACTAGCGTACTCTCCTAGAGTATGAATCAGCAACACTTACGTTTTCAAAGGCAACCTGCCGTATTTGGGAGAATGTGCGTGGGATTTTCATGACCAACCTCCCTCAAGGCTGCTTCTAGAAATGAGCACCAAGCATGGCTCATTTGAGAAAGGGGGTCACTGAGGGCTCATCATTATGACTAGGCTATGATTTATAATGAGTGTGCTGAGTAAAATATATCACGTCGTTTTTTCGTCCGAAAAGGTGAAATGGAAGGCACATGGCCTCTAGCTTGCACAGCAGCAGCAGCAGCCTTAACAGCATGCAATCAGAAGAGCCCTGAATAATCTCTTGACATGTGAGTCGACCGGGCAGGGTACATGTAATGGGTTTCTATGTTTGTACATTTGGCCAATTGACGCTTAATTCGCGGCCGTGTATTTACTCCACACACCTGAAATGCATGCAGGGGTTCATTTGTGGAAATCTAATACGGCACACTGGTGTTAAACGCTTGTCTAGACCTGTGGGTAAGGCAACGCGAAAGAGATTGCACGGTGTTTTGACGAATTTGCCTGCCTGTATAAATGTGTTGTGAATGGGAATGCATATTTTAACGTACTGTTCATGGTAAAGAGCAGCAACCTGGCTGGCTTGAATTAATGCATTTATTGCCTGTTATATCTGGATGAAGAATTAACATTTTTTACCACGAAATCTGATAGTTGAACTTAATGTGATAACAGGTGCGATGTTACTGTTAATGATGAAGCAACTAAACACGTTTACTGGAAAATACTGGAATTATATATACATTTGACAATGCAGATAATTTTTTCATCTCCGATCGTAGTTGTGAATGATGCCACAATTCATCTCTGCATTAGCTAACAAAATGTCGCTTGGGTCTCTTGAAATAAGCTGTCTGTAGTCGTAAATGAGCCATGCTCACTTGCTCAATGCAAGCCATTCGCACGAGTAAAATGGTCTATGCTTGAATACAAAACAACATTGCAGGAATTTTGATTCAATTTATTCGAGCAAAACACAAACCATTGAAATGTGAACAAAATAACGGGAACATTCGAGAAATTATGTGTATAAGCTATGCTCTGGACTTGGGTTTACGCATTTAACACGTATGTGCATTTGCACCAACTGGCACTTGCAAGAGCTTCTTGCAAAGCCTAAATGGGTGGAATACCACCATGCAAGCATACCACATACAGCAAATCTTCCCATTTCAACTTAGTGTCAGTTGCAAACAGACCACTTGTGCACAGGCTTTAAGTTACCTTGGGTTGTCCGTCTTTTACCTTTTGGTTAAGGTTGCCATGATGTAGCTGCCAAGGACGTGATTTACAAGTTGAGGACAAATGAATATTTTGGCCGGAATTTTTGCTGGTGCAAATTCAGTGTCGTGTGTGCTGGGATTTTTTTTATTTTGGGTCCATTTAGTATTTTATAGTGAAATGGATGAGTTTGCCAGAGTTGGATCAGGATAAATGATAATTTCAAATAAACGGATGTCAAATAAATTCAGACTAAATGGAAGGAAACAAGCCAGGTAAGGGCTCTTTCAATGCACATTACCTCTAGTCCATCATGATATTGGACAAACGCAGATATACACCAAATACTACCATCATGACCAACATCTCAGCTAAAGAGTATGTGTCAATATACAATATATTTTCAGCATAAAAGCAAAAAAAATACATAAATGAAAGCATAACAGGCCCGATTCACATTTGGCAAATATAAATGTAATCAGATTTGTCGAAATTGTGTCGTACCAATCACCAACGATGTAACATTGCAAAAGAAATATGTGGAATATATTTCATTAAGATGTAAATCAGACCCATACTGCATTTAACTAGATACATTATATTCCACATATTGGACGAGTGACAGGATGATTATAACTACTTATTGATGATTACAATTGAGAAACCATTGTGTGAGGTCAGCTGCTCGGATTCTCTTACTGCCAAGTACTTTACATCAATATTCTGTTCCGCTTCTCTCATTATAAATACTGTGATAACTAAATAGGTACATCTAATGGTAAAAAAGGCTCGTGTGACAGAGTTATATACGAATTCTCAGCCACTGTACGTATAAAATACAGGACAGAATTAACTCGTTTTGGACTTGGTATCATCAAAGGAATGTGGGATTTCCATCACTGGCTCAGGGCCGCCGAGCAAAAATGAGCACAACCCCATCCCTTGTTTGATGGGCAAGGTGACATTTTAGCTTCACATTCACATTACTACCCTACTGCAGTTTAGGGATGCATTTAATAGCGCAATATTTACACGCACAACGAGGTTCATTTAATCAAAGTAACCACAAACACGTTCGCAGCAGCAGACGCAAAGGTGCCGATGACTGAAGCACGCGCTCGTGGCTTAACACCGTGCACAACTAACCCCGGAATGACCAAATCACTCGGAATGCACCCGATGCTGTCTCGGTGTGGGTTGAGAATTATTCTTTCCCACCCCCCCCCCCCCCCCCCGATTTTTCTTGCGCACCTCCGATGAGCACGATTGGCAACGTACTGTGTGAAAGAAGTTCAACATACGTACATACGAGCCTGGGCAGTGCTCGCATGGGTGAGGCTAAATCCGGTGTTGTACCGTACTCCTTCCTAAACTCACTCCCACATATCCTCTCACCGCCTTCACCAATCCGCACTGACCAGCGTGGTGAAGTATGGTCAAATAACGTGCGGTTGCGAAATAATTTCAACATACATACATGCACAGCCGATGATGGTGGTAGGGGGGAGGGTTGTGTGGGGAGGGCTCTCTGCGTGCAAAGTTGTGTTTTGTTCTAGGAAACGGGACAATGTTTCGGACGTGGCGTGCCGCGCGTGATGAAATTTTTGCTCTACCACCCCTCCCCCTCCACCCCGACCAGTGTGGAGGAGCACGCGATGGGATGGGTGGAGAGAACATTTCAGCGCGGGTTCCTTCCGTGCTGGAGCCCCACGGGGGTGGGGGTCACATCCGGCAGCTGCAGTGGCATTTCACAATTTTTAAAAAAAATTTAAATCACGCACACCAATTCATTTTGTACACATGTGCCCGGCACGTGCACTGACATGCTGCGTACGATTCCTAAGGTTATATCCAACGTGTTTCAAATCATGATTGTATTGTGGGAGGGGGGTTATTTTTCTCTTTATCGATTTTTTCGCGTGTTTTAAGCTTGCGGTATTGTTGTTGTCAGACTAGTTTTTAAGTCTACTTTTAAAATTATATTTTAAAAAACGTACAGCCGACAATTAATTTCAATACTGCTTTAAGTCTTCATCACGTTGTGTTGGTAACGGGTCGGAGGGGGGGGGGAGAAACAGGGATGGCTTTCAGATATTACTCTGCCATTCATGTTAACCGTGGCCAGGAGTTTAACTCAGCTTGCCGGGTTTCTTAGTCCAGTGGCGAAAACCACTGCACTGCAGCTGCACCACATTCCCACTTCCACTATTAAGTTGAAGAGTTGCAAGTTTATTTGCGTTTAACCAAGTGAGAACCTAATAATGGCCTGGGGCAATAGTCTGCCAGTAAGGGGCTATGTTACAGGTCCAATTAAATACTGTAATCTATGGGTAGTTATTAAACTTGTACTCAATGGCCTACTGTTGCAAATGACATCAGGACATCTCGAACATTCACCGCAAAGCACGTGGCGCATACTGTGATTATTACACGCGCAGTATGAATCAGTGCTGACGTTGGTTCTCAAATCAAAGGACTTCTGCAAGAAAGAGTGAATGCACTACCGCTAGGCCGTGTAATTGCCCCATGGGGACACGTGAATGCAATGACAATTACACGCGACAGGACTGACATCGCTTTTAGCGGTAACAATTGGCACCTAATTTGCATTCCATTAATGTACCGTTCAGCTATTCATTCCAGGTGATGTGGGTGTTATTACCTCATACAATACTCGACTGCAATTTAAATTTTCGTTTCCAAAAAAACCCGTAATCATTCGAGCTTATTGGGTTTCTTCTTTTACAATGGCAAAGGGGGATCGCTACGATATAGCAATACTTTTATCTCTTGTGTGATATAACATCAACGATGTTTGTATCGTCCATTTCGTATAGTAAATCGTGATTATCGTTCTCTTATTTTAAATTTCAATTCCGGACAAAGTATAATAGTTAAAGTTCTAAATGAAAAATAGCTGTTACCAATTAAATCAGTGACGTAAAACGTTTCTAGATAAGCATTGCAGTTTGCAAAGTTATCACGATCAGAAAGACTCATGACAGGCTCATGTTGACTGGCCTGCAATCGAATAACTTAAAAACAAATCTCTATTCGGAATTGAAGTACATCAAAGTACAACATGGGGATGTAAACAATGTGAAATGCGATTACAAAGTGGTTGGAATCTGATAGTGTCACAGTCGTCATGTAGTAAAACTTTATATAGTTTTGTGAAAAGCGATTTTCACAAAACGAAACCGCGGCAATCTTATCGCAACTAAATATATGTTTTTAATCTGTGTTAAATTGTACAAAGGTGCTGTGCGTCAGCAGCAAACACACACGAGTTGGCATTATTCATCCACCAAAGAGTGATGAGTTTTGGATTAAAAAACCCAAGTTTTGATTTATTTTCGAAGGTCAATTTATAATTTAAATTAAAAAAAAGATAATTTACAGGATTTTAATAAACGCGTCTTAATTGCTAGCAAAAGAGATGTCGTCCAATACCACGTAATCCACTTGGAACCTTTGGGGGGGAAAGCACTCATGTGACTTATGTTGCGTGATGTAATTTTTGATTCGGATCCTCAATTTCGTTTTTCTGCACCCTGATTTTCTGATATATTTTTGCTTGATCCAAAAAATTAGCAACACACCCCTAATATGCACTTATTGTAAACGGCAAAACCTATATATATTTATAGCAACTCGAGAGCAATTTATAAACAGAGAGTGCAGGTTTTAATAATCTAATTGCTGAAAAAAATCTCTGTGAAAAATAGACGTTTAATCTTGCACTGTTTTTTGAGATGTGTGTCATCCAAAACGTGTTATTTAATATCATAGCAATTCAGCTGACAAACCACACTTTATATATATATAGAAAGGTGGCACAGATTGATTATAATAAGTTGGCTTGATAACTTAAAAACTGTACAACCTTACAGCGAGACAAATATACTATTCTGCGGTGCCATATACAAATGCAAACTGCCTAGCTTATGTATATTCCTCATTTTTTCTATGGCACTAATACGGAGTCTAGATTATGAAACTACATGCTGTAGTTGACATTCTCACATGATCGCTTACATTAAACCTAATTTTGTGCGGTACTCCACTCGAAGTTGAATGTCAAAGAGTTTCTTTACTTGGTGCGCCCCTATACCTGCTGAATACCTGAATAGTTATTTTTGATTCACAATTGATATATTTATATTGCAGTGTTTATCATTAGAAAAGACCTTTGATAATATACTCTTGAGGAAACATAGTAAATTGTTCATTTTTATCATTTCTTTTGATTTCATATAATGTAATATCTTAGATATCACATTTAATTGTAATGTGTTTTTTTATTATACTGTATGCTGTGCATGGAAACACATTAAGAAAAATATATGTAATATATTTACGTACGGTGTCAATGCATACACAGTGCAATAAAACATAACTATAAATTACTAACATACAGTTTCCATAAATAAATGTTTAACTCGCAGTGTCGTGCGTTATTCTCACTAGAAAACAATAACGAAGCTCACTAAGGGGAGGAATGCTACCCACAGATTACATACACGACAAAGCAAGTAGTGGCCATGAACTCAAACTTTCAAACCCATCGTGCGTTCTCACGAAATTAACTATCGCACACACACACACACGCGCTTCTAGTAGGCACCACACCACCACCACCACCACTGCCCAGTCAGATGCAGCTTTCAGGACACATGAGAGTTTTCTCAGTGCAACCTTCGCCTCCTCCGCCACCACCGGCGCCACCACCACCACCACTGGCATCATAGAACGCCTTCCCACCAGGGGCCATCCCGGCTGCCGCTCTGTTCACGGGGACCCCCGCCACTGAGCAGCCCCTGTGCAGCAGCAGCCTCGTGGCGGGTGTGGGGTGCGCGCCGGTGGCCTCGGGCTGCTCGCCGCACGCGAAGGGCACCCGGCGACTCCGCACGGACGAGGCCGAGTAGCGGAAGGAGCCCGTGACGGGCGTGGATGACGAGTCTCTGTCATGCGCCGCAGTCCGGGGCCAGCGGCAGCAGCGGCGCACCTCGCGGCGAACGTGCGCCGCGAACACGCCGTAGATGACGGGGTCCAGGCAGGCGTTGAGCAGACCGAACGTCAGGGACATCTCCTCGACGAAGTGCGGCACGACCTTGCGCGACACGATGCTCCGGTCGAACCAGTACCAGATGCCGAGCACGTAGTAGGGCGTCCAGCAGACCACGAAGGAGCTGACGATGGCGATGCTCATCTTGAGGGTGCGCATGCGGGCCTTGGGGATGTTGTTGTTTGAGCGGCGAAGGCGGATTTCTTTGGATGAAACTGTCGTGAGCGAAAGGAGGTGTTTTAGAAGCGGTGGATTAAAGAAGATGAATAATAACAGCACGTGTGTGACATTGAATAAACTTGTGTATGTGTTTTTGTTATAATGGTTGGTGGGTAGATTATTTGTATTCTCGCTTTATTCTGCCACACCATCGAGAAAATTAACACCGGTGACGAATATGGAACAGAAGCTGAAAAGTGAACAAGAAAGCACGGAGGGGTGCATTAGAGACAGCAAGAAGAGCATGTGGAGAACTCGGTTGGCTGGGGGCAGAGCACAATGCAAAAAGGGTTGATGGCCAAGACGGTTGATGGAGTGGCAGCTTGTGGAGGGTGAGGCTGACCACCAGAAGATGGAGCCATGAGATCAACTCGCGTGCAGTAATTATTGATTATCTCGTGTACAGGAATTCAATGGATTGTTGTGGAATGACAACAGTTTTGGGAATGCTTCTATGCCACATTGAATAGAGCATGGATGAGGGTGATATGGATTTTGTGTCTGTGCACCAATGCTGATAAATGCAATAGTTTGCTGAATCGAAGACGTCGTATATTCGTGCACACGTGCAGATATATTTGCCAATCCACTGTTGAGCGAGGGCTTCCCCACGCCGTGAGTTTTGTGGGAATTGTGTGACCATACTTCTCCACGCTGGTCAATACAGGTCGGCAAAGTTGGAGAGCATAGATGCGGACACATCGAACCACAGTACAATGGTGGATTATGCTGCACTTCCCTCTGCTAGAAAAGTGGTCTCGATAATGATTGCTGTGTGGGGCGACTAATTTTATCCTTGCCCGAGGCCCCTCTGGAATTCATAAAATCATTAAGCGCACTTGACTTAATTATGGCCTTTGCTATACCTAGACTGATCCCTAAATCTTTCCATATTGCCATTTAGATCATCACATTGCTGTATAATTATTCTCACTTCCTTGGCACTCAAAGATAAAATTGCACCCTTGTAATGTTATTGCTCACACTACTGCTGTCGGAAGGGCCTCCACGAGAAGTGGCTACAGGAAGCCCCTCTAGAAGGTAGTTTGACCTACTCTTCTGTGCTGGTCAAGACTAACTGGTGGTACCCATTTATACTGCTGGGGTGGATAAACGCAGAGGAGCGAATTGAAGAAAATTGGCCAATATTTTAAATCAGCTTCAATTGGTGACCTCTGGATTATAAGGACAGCGTGCTATGCATTACACTAACGGCATCATCTTGACTGTATTGAGCGATATCCTTTGCAATGCTATAATTGTACATGTGGTGGTCGTGTTATTTATAACAGGATGGCATCTATGGGAGCCACTATATTTTACTGGGGCAGAGCAAGGATTAGCTTGAGAATTATTGGCAGCAGATACGACGGTGGGATTTTAGGGCCTGGAGCCAGCCTGTATAGAACTACGATGATCAGAGGCCTGCAATCTTCTGGGGAGAAAAAAAATGTTTCAGAATTTACAAGCTCCCTGGAGCTGTCTGGGATGGGGGGGGTGATCCGGGGAGACGGAGGGCCCTTGAGAAATTTTCCACTTGAAATATTTCTTTCCGTTCATTAAATATAATTTGAGATCCACTTAAGCTTTGTTTTTAAGTGTATGGATCTCAATGCCTTCCAAATGACACTGTCGAATTCACGAATGGGGCCTTGATTGTAGGTATACGTCACTTGCTAAATTGAGACCGTGAAGATAAATTCTACTTTATTAGTGTCACTCTTGTGTCTCGCTACAATTGATTATGTCACGTGTTGGCTGTCGGGAGCGGAGCCGTCCAGTGTTTTTCATACGGCACCACCTTTGCCAAATACATCGGACAACCTCTTAAGGACAATGTGGATGGGTCTGATTTACAGTTAAAATAATTTACGTCGCTGATGTAATTCTTAGCTGCTACTCACCACGAGCCCATAAAGTTTTTTGCGGATCTGCTGTTATGGCTCTGGTGTGTTTTTGGGTTGTAAAGTATGTCGTTCAGCACGACAGCCAAACGCTTTGTTCCACGTGCCGGGGGCTTCGAGTACATGTCCGACAGATTCACTCCACCTAGTGGAAGTTCGAGGAAATACAGCTCCAAAGCAGGTGGAGTGAAACGTCGGACACAATTTCCTGAAAAAGCTCCCAGCGTGTGGAGCAAAACGGCAGAGATCGTGTGAAACAGCACGCGGTACAGCCCGAAAACACATCGGAGAGCTCGGCAAGGAATTAAACTGAATTGTTTTAAGCTGGAATTAAACCAGACAATAAATACTACTTCTGCCCCCCCCCCCATTTTACGTAGGTAAAATATTCATATTTTAACAGCCGAATGTAATGTGTTTTGCATTATCCATGTTTTTTTTTTATCTGGGCCACATCCCCACCTCCCATCACTCCAGATAACAGAGATCTGACAGATAACAGAACAAGTCTGTCATCATATTTGAGGGATCACGTTTAGATCCGTTTTTAATGTAGCACGCGTCTTTTGTGTGCCGGTTCGCAACACAGCGTGTCTCTTCCGTCGTCAGACTCGAGCCGGCACTCGTGTGTCTGAAATGCCGTGTTAAAAAACAAGTGATGCGGTGAAGGCGTATTGAATAAAACCACTCACTGCTTCCTTCTCGCATCCTCTTGGAGATCTCCAGCAAAATCCGGCAGTAGCAGAATATCATAATGAAGAGTGGCAGGATGAAGAGGAACACGAACGTGAACATGTAGTAGAGATTGTGGTGCCACTGCTCGACAAAGTTTCCGTGGGTGACGCACTGAACGAAGTTTTTGTTTCCTTTGGGACTCTTGACGTGGAACAGAAAGAGCTGCGTGCAGGAGAGAAGTGCATGTCAAGCAAATGAGTTAGTCACACAGTGAAATATACCACGTTGAATTTCGGATGCCGTGCCGACAAAAACTATAGGGTTGCCATTTTTGGGGGTATAACGGAAAAAAAAGACCCGGGATGTATCATGGGAAGAAGAATATGTCGACAATACTGGAAGAATGAAGTAGTGCGAGTTAATGCGTTGTCTTGACCGGTGTCATGTTACACAACGGACAAAAAAGCAGGACTTGTAATTGTCGCAGGAAGACTTCGCGCATTTGCCAGGACAAGCTTCCTTTAAAAGGAGAGGACGATTCAGGGAAAACCAGGAGAGGTGGCAATACAAGGTGCAGGTATTCTTTTTTTAATTACATGAAATCTTGTAATTAGTTTTAGGGCATAATTGTATACGTACATATGCCATTCAAACACAAATAGACATTCTGAGTTAATAATTTACACGCCACTGGGGAAGGCACAGAATACACATTTGTTTAATGAGATTAATTTTGAAATACTGTACGTCTGCACCGGATGCAAAAAGAGGCGTTGATGAATCAGCGAAGTTGGTGATAATAATGTAAGTCGTGGTAAACCAAAAAAGCCCACTTACAAACAATTACTTATGTCTTGGGATACATCATTTAAAAACATTTATATAAATTTAAAAGGCCATAAAGAAATCGGAAAGCAGCTTGAATTTTTCATAAAAATGTATTTCAAGTTTCTTCTGGTGATCATTTCAAAAATTTCACTGCACTTGTACAATTGCAATTAAAAAAATGGGGAACCATTGTTGAACTGCATTGCATTTCAGAATAAAATGTTACTACCCAGGGACGGTGTCAATGATGATTATTGTGTTGAGCAGGATTGAAGATGCGTTGAGCATTTTTAAATGTGTTTGTCAATAAACTACCTACGGTTCCAGACTTTAAAACATCATTTATATACTTTGGAACACATATCAATAGCACTGAAATATTGCCTTGCCACATATACGGTAAAGATAAAGGTGTAGTCCCGTGGATCACGTGCTCACACCCGCCGCTAGAGGGCGCTCCAGCGAGCCCCTCTCGAGGGTGTTTTGGCCTACTCGTCCACGTTGGCCATTCATCTTTAAATAGGTGTGATTACCCATACTTTCCTCCACCACACGTAACCTGCCAATTTCCCAACCGGTGTACCCATTTATACGACTGAGAAGACAAAAGGATGGGGGGATTTAACAAACGTGTTCATTGTTTCAACTGCCACGCCGGTAGATCGAATCGGATTGAACCAGTGACATCTGGAGTGCGTTACCTGCGGGACCGCCAGCAGAACGCTGAGCACCCAGGCCACGCTCAGCATGGTCTTGTTTTTGGCCTTGGCTTTGCCGATGCCCAGCGGATTGAGGATGGCCGAGTGTCGGTCCAAGCTGATGACCACGGTGATGAAGGCGCTGGAGTACATGGCGAGGAGGCGCAGAAACATAAGCAGGCGGCAGGCAAACTCGCCCGCGTACCACTGCGTCGTGATGTGCCACACGGCGTCCAGGGGCATCACGATGAATGTGATGAGCAGGTCGGCCGTCGTCAGGTTCACGATGAGGATGCGCACGTGCGACTTGGTCTTGCGGTGGTTGTGGGAGATGGTGCACAGCACGGTCAGGTTGCTTATGGCCGCGAAGATGAAGAGGGCAAAGGTGCTGATGACACGGAACTGCGTGGCTGGCAACCGGATGTCGGAGTTGATGCTGGAGTTGGTGAGTTGCTCGTCGCCTGTGTGGCTGACGTTCGGAGGGCCCGTCACGTTGTTGAGGAAGGCAGCCCGGGGTGTCATGTTCATGTTGATGGGTTCCATTAAAGCGCACTTCATAGGATGGGACAAATCTCCATCACACGGATGACTCGGTCCTTAAAAAGATGAGAGCGCTGCAAAGAAAATTGCGACGTGCAAGAAAGAGCATTCAATTACATGTATTTTCTTAACGTGGGGATGATGATGATGGTGGTGATGTGTGTGGGATGCACACAACAGCAGTCGGAAAAGTTGTGCGTGAAACCCCCATTTCGGGATCAAATCGGCTGTTTTCTCTGTGGGGTCCAAACAAAAAAAGAGACCATATGTGTGGGCAGTGAACATCGGTTGACCTCTGGAGAGCTCGGCTCAGGCTTGGGGAGTTATGAAATTGCCACCGCTGGACTGTGGCCCACAAAACAAATATAAGCAGCCACTCAATATTCAATTTGAGCTACGAGAGCACTGACTTTTGAACATTCAGATTAGATTTTTTTATTATCACATCTGTAAAAAAAAAAGCTGTGTCAAAAGTGCAATAAAGGTTAATTAAGTTTCTGGTTGAAAGAGGCGATGGACACTGCTTACCAGTGTGTGTGCCATTTTTAATTATAGAGAGTCAGAATATAATCCCTTGTAACAATAGCAGGTGAAATAATCTTTCCATAATCTTTCATTCATATATGCCCGCTGACATTATGGTTTGATTAAAGAAAGATGTCCTCGTGAAATAGGTTATCTTAACACACCTGAGTGGCGATGCGGTGGTAACGCACCCGGGCCACCTGTATTCAAAACCCACACTGAGCTCTCTGGTGAATTATCATCACAAACCGTACCTCTCCATAACAAAGGCTCAGTCTTTTGTTGTGCAGTCTATTCTTAGTCTTAAGCCTCACCTTACCATATTAATAAAAAGTGTGCCGTACTTAGCCCTTCCCCTCTTCCACCATTATATATACGGAGTGGTAGCTCTTGTAATCTCTCATTTACTTGATACAGCTGTCGTGGCTGTGACGGTTCCACCTGAAGACGGAAGCTTGTGTTGCCTCCGAAACGTCGTGATTTCTATTTTATTTTACTTTTATTAATTTTAATTTGTTTACCTACGTGACTTTACCGAAAAAACCTAAGAATATAAACATCGGTGGCTTATATCTGAACCAGTCCTGGGCCACCCACTTCACCATCCCACACTGACCATTCTGGTGAATTATCATCAAACATTCCTGGCGCGGCAGCGGACGCCTCTAAACCGGCAATGGATTGACAAAGGGCTGTGCTTTATTATTATTCATCTTCTTGGTTTTTTCGGTAAAGTCACGTAGAAAAAAAATAATAAAATAATAAAAATAAAACATGATAAAATTATAATAAAATTATATAATAAATAATATAATAAAATAATATAATAACCGAAAGAACCAAGAAGAGGAATCCCTGCAGTCACGAAGAAGATTTAAATCGAAATTTTATTATTGTTATGATCATCACTGTGATATGTCAAGCTGTAGCTCATTTGGTGAAGTAACAGGCTCCCAATAATGAAATAATTGGTTCAAATTCAGTTTAATTTAATAGGTATAGCCCTGTGAGGCATGCAGCTCTTGACTCGGGTGCAATCGCGAAAAAATAAACCATGAACAAAGAACAAATGCCAGCCAGAGTTAATTGTTCTCACCAGTATCTGCAAAACAACAAGTATTAATAACATTTCATGGGACCTCCTTTGCCAGTACCAAAAAATGATAATGTTTTCCTTTTTTCTGGCAACAAAACAGGTGTATAGATGTTAAAACACCAAACTGAAACCTTTTACAAGGAATCATGTCTCCATTAACGACAATGCTTGAGGTCAGCATGCAAATAAAAAACATACTCTGATAACATATGTGTTGTCCTTGAAACTGATTGGTCCACACCAGAGGCAGCTTTCTTTTGAGCCTCGTCTCGAACGGTGTTAGGGTGGTGTTAGACCAGAGGACGCCGAATTTTGTTGTTTTATCATCTTAACACCTGTTTTGTTTCCATAAAAATGGGAAAACCCTACTATCAATAATAATATTCTTTGTATATTCTGGAAATCCTCCAGACTTTTTAGCAGGAAGAGCCTTCATTGGGAAGTTTGGTCAATTCTATTCATTAGTCTGACATCGTTGGAAAGTATGCGTCCGTAATTATACTGTGGGCATGCCAATACTACGAGCGTTTGGATGTCATCCCTGGCTCAGTTCTCCCAGCACAGAGTATGAGTGCGGTGACGCTAACACTGTTAATAGTGTCACATTTAGACTATATAATACCGTTTGTTAATTTGTTCGAATCCCTTTCAAGGATCAGCAATACATTACACCTCGGGGGGAGGGTGGGGGGTGTAAATAAAATTCGTGCTACATTCAGAAGTCCTTAATTAGCTCCCAGATTGGGAATGTCAAATTTGTCACAACTGGGTTTAGTCCAGACAATAGCGATAACCTCTGTGCTGTGATTTTGCTTTCTAAATTGTGACTGAAAACGCTGACAATTCATAGTTGAGACTTACATCTACATAGATTGTCATGGTGAAGCTGCTGTGTACAGCTACCTAATGTGTTTCGGGTCATACGGTGCGCTGTTGGGCATGATATTCGACGTTTCACTCCACATTATGGGAGCTTCTTCAGGAACTAATTCATATTCGGAAGAATCCGATTCTGTTCCAGAATCAGATTCTCAAGAATGGGGATTCAGTTCCTTAAAAGTCTCCCAGCACATGGTGTGAAACGTCGGACATCATGCCAAACAACACGCGGCACAATCTGAGAACCGAGCAATACATCTACAAAGTAAGCGCCATATGCGTCGGTAAATAAGAGCGATTCTGTGTCCACCGCTAATAGCATGTCAGCTAATAGCGTTTGAAAAAAACCAGAGGGAAAACACATTCTCACTTAACCCACACCTGGGCCTCTCTTCAGAAAAAACACGTGGACACGGCATGCACGCACGCACGTACACACTGCACGCACACACACACTGCACGTACACACACCGCACACACACACCGCACACACACACACTGCACGCACACACACACACACACCGCACACACACACTGCACGCACACACACACACACACCGCACACACACACCGCACACACACACCGCACACACACACACCGCACACCGCACACACACACTGCACGCACACACACACTCCGCACACACACACACACTGCACGCACACACACTGCACACCGCACACACACACTGCACGCACACACACACACCGCACACACACACCGCGCGCACACACACACACCGCACGCACACATACACGCACACATACACACACACCGCACACACACCGCACACACACACTGCAAACACACACCGCACACACACACACTGCACACACACACACCGCACGCACACACACACACACCGCACGCACACACACCGCACACACACACCGCACACACACAAACCGCACACAGACACCGCACACACCGCACACACACACTGCACACACACACTGCACACACACACCGCACACACACACACCGCACACACACACCGCACACACACACACACTGCACACACACACCGCACACACACACCGCACACACACACACACACACACCGCACACACACACTGCACACACACACTGCACACACACACACCGCACACACACACCGCACACACACACCGCACACACACACACACACACCGCACACACACACACACAGCACACACACAGTGACACAGTCCACGCGTGTAGCGTCTCGTTACGAGACCGCTTTACGCAACGTTCATCGACATTCACGCGCGACCAAAGCGGCGCTGACACTAAAACGTCGAAAGCGCCTCTATTTGACGAGCACTTTAGAACCACGTTATACGTATCTATTGAAGGAATCCGATGAGCTATGAAGCTCTTAACCACTGGGATTGCGCTGCGCTCGCCATCCTATAGCAGAGCCACGCGGATCCGACACTCAACGCCGGCGACGGACAGCGCGGACGGTGCCAAATCATCGCCTCTTCCGGAACCCCAAATATCGCAGCAGCACTCCTCGTGTCGTTCCTCTGAAGACACAGAACATCGTCGACAGGTGGATGGATGCCGCACGTCGCGTTCATTGATGACATTTGTGTTTTCTTGCAAAGACAAAACCACACGCTGCGACTGTGGCCATGCAACAATCGCCACAAACTGTTGGACGAGCCGATGGGAAACCACCGTCGTCTGCGCCACCGCCAACGGAGGGAACAGGAACACGTGAAGGAACTTTCTCCCTCAAGCCCTCTCTCGTCGTGGCTAGCAGACATTGGCACTTGGCGACCGAGCATACTGCTGCAATACGCAGGGATAACATGGCTTAGAAACCGCGCCGGCGACATCGCTGCTGCTGATGATGTTAGTTGACTGCAAGGGTTTATATACATTAGCCAGGCATTGGCAATGCACATTTGACGTAAGCAAAGCAAACTCCGAACATGTTTATGCCTTCAGGGTCTCGTCAGCAGAGTCGGGTTTGTTATACAAATGTCGCTGCATTTCCCGATATTATTGGAAAGAGCATACGCATATAAAAAATGGGAGTTCGTTTAGCGCTAAAACCCCAATGTCATACACAAACTCGTGTGTGCGTTGTGAGTAATGCAGGGTGATCTGCGATACCTCACTAAAAGAAGAGCGATCAACGACAGAGAAAGAGCGTCTGGTTTCCAAGCCCTCCACGCGTTACCGATGTTAACGCTCCACCGGTGCTCGTTGTGCAACATCGGCGGTGCGATTTGCGTAGCATTCAATCGCGCTGAGAAGCTACGGGATCATGAGCGTACTCAGGTGCGTGCTAAGCGCAACACGTGGGCTTTCACAATCTTCTCCGCGCACGGGATGTTAAGCACCGAGCCCTTGAACAGCCCGTGGTAAATTATTCTTGAAGCTAATTTTTGCAGGGATTGAGCCTTGGGATAGTGCTTGGATGAATGACCCCCCCCCCCCACCCCGTGCATCAAACTGGAGGTGTAGGCGGCTGCTGGACTACGCTGTCAGCAGTGGGCAGTTCAACAAATTCCACTTTTGTAATATACAGTACTATACACCAACGTCTATGCTCCCCCTGCCTTCACCTACCCACCCGGCACTGACCTGCTTGGTGAAGTATAGTCAAACATTTCACATGGGGAAAACCCTTCCTCCAAACAGCAGTGAATTGACGAAGCTGCTATGAATAATAACTACGTTCCAAAGTAAAACAAGGACGTGGTAACACGTAAAATTGACAGTGATCTGTGCGCACAGGAAGGACGGAGCTTAATGATTCTTACCCGGGCACTCGAGCAAGATGAAGTTCAATGACGACTGCGGAGCCCGGGTCTTCTCTCCGCGCTGCGAAGCCACGAGTGAAGCTTTGCAAGACGTTTCACTGATAATTCATGCTTTGTTGTGGGTACGGGGTGAGTAGGGGGGGCAGGGGGCGGGGGAGGTGGGGGGTAGAGTGGAGGGGGTTCGTGGGGGGATGTGGTAGAGAGGCAGGGAAATTGGGGAGTGGGGGTAGCGGATTACGTACGGTTGCTGGTGCCGTGCGTGTGTGTGTTTGCGCGGTGGTGCCGGTAGTTGTGAGAGAGAGAGAAAAAGAGGGAGAGGCGGGGCATTTTACAAGCCATTTTTGCCATACTTTGCAAAAAAACTGAGCCTGTGAGTTGGGAGTGCAGGACGATTGGGAACACGATGTAATGAATGTGCTCGGGGGACGTTGTTAAATGCTTTGAGAATGGATGAAGGATCGATTCCGTGGCAACTTTTGAACTCATCGAGTGTACCATCGCAACATTACGTTACGCGCGGCGTAACCCCAGTCCCGCCACCAATACCGCCAGCGCGGAGATGGAGCGATGTGCTCATGTGTAGGAACGGAACGAACCGTTATGGGTTGATCGACGTCTCGGAGAAGGAAGAATATTTCATCCGTGGCTCATGATGATGATTTAAAGTAAACCGCACACGCTTGCAGCTTTGGAGTCACAGAGTTCACGATTATGTTTTCTATGAACGTTTGATCATCGTGCTGCGATAGTAGTGAAACAGTGGTGGTAATTCCTCATTCATACGACGGTCACAGGTATATCCACACAAGACGGGGAGCGGTGTTACACAACGGGGTTTTATCTATCGTGGGGATGGGGGAAGAATACTTTCCGAAGCACAGTCCCGGACAGCTCCGACTGATATTAAGGGGCCGTCCATAAATGACGTCACGCGATTTTGGACGATTTTTGCCCCTCCCCCCCCCCCCCATCGTCACAAAAAGTCAGACCCCCCCCTCAAATATGACGTCATAAAGCTCTGCCCCCCCCCCTCCCAAAACCATATTTCCATTTTGAAAATACAACATGCTTCGAATCGCTTTAAATTATTGCCATTGTAGTGCGTATTTGATGTGGCGCTGCACTCTGATGTTGTAGGAGTGTTAAAATATATATATTTAATTAAAGTTGCGGATTTTGATGTGACATCACATTTCTCAAACCCCTTCCCCCGTCACACATTGTCACAAATGTCTGACCCCACCCCCCCTAGGAGCGTGACGTCATTTATGGACGGCCCCTAATCCCTGGGTTTACAGCTGGAAAAAAGATGAATTAATTTTGTGTTCGTTCTGGTTTTTTTTATTCTTTCAGTAACATACTAAACCTGTGGCTGAATTTTTCATAATATCAGTCACACACACACACTCACAGTGACGCGGATACCTTCATAAACTCGTTATCCGCCAATATGTAACGCCTGGTAGCTGCATCATTTAAAGATAGCTGTCAAACGGATCAAGGACGACGGCGCTGATGTCCATCAGTCGCTGTAACTAAAGTCGGCTCTCTCCAAATGGGTGCGCTACGCGGGAGTCGCGTGCAATGCGTCACGAATGAACTTCTACGCGTAATGCACGAAACACCTCTCCCAGCGTCTGGTCAACGTGGAAGAGTTGTGGCAACATTCCCGTTGGGGTCTTGAGCTCCATCGACCTGTTCCCCGCAGCAGTGGTTTGAGCAAGCAATTGGCAGCGCTGCACCTTTTGCTAAATTCGTGCAAGTCAAGGTTGTTCTCAGCCACTCCAGTTAGCGGTCCTTTTAAATAATGGTGGCAAGTTTCACGTGGCTGGATAGGGTTGTTGGGAGGTGGAATGACGTAAATATTTAGGAGTCGTAAATGGACGACAATTATGATCGGAGAATGGGTGGCGCGGTGTTTTAGGCGCGCTTCGCTATGAACGCCAGCGACTGACGTTCGATTCCCGGCCACGGCTAACATCAGTGGCAGAGCGGTATCTGAACTGGACCTGGGTGCCCCTTTCACCATGCATGTACCTATGTATGTATGTATGTGTGTTGAACTTCTTTCACACCGTACGTAGCCAACCGTGCAAATCGGAGGTGCAGTGGGAAGGACAACAACATAAACACAAAAAGCAATTTCTCAAGAAATTCGTTTTCAAGCTCGATGATTTAAAAACGCGTGGCTTCCAGTGGCTTCCTAATATCCGAAGGAAGAGCGTTCCAGACGGCCGCAGAAGCGCATCTGAAAGCGCGCGATGCAGTGAAGGTCTTTGTTCGATGGTTAGCCAAGAGCCGCTGCTTAAAACCCCAGATGACCGACATTACTCAAGGAAGCCTTTATCCAGCAGTAGATTGACAAAGGGCTGTGGACATACTCTTTGGTTCTTTCGGTAAAGTCACCGTAGATAATTCCTGCAGTCACGAAAGCTTCAAATCACGGCTGTGTACATTTTTATCACTACTGTGCAACCGTGTAAAATAAAACGTAAGATACAACATCGTAAACACTTGTGCTTAGCAGGTTTTTTTTAAGTTCTGCTTTCTCCAAAGAATCCTTTAAAATCCGAATATACGACAATAAAAATCATGTACTGTACAATCTTTTTGTCAATCCACCGCTGGATGAAGGCCTCCCCGCACACCATGCCACGTGGGGGTTGTGTGACCATGTTGACCCACGCTACCTCGTGGTGTGGAACCAGGACCGTTATCCGTGGCCGGCAATCAAACTCGCGTGGCCAGGTTTTAAAGCGCAGTGCGACAACCACTGCGCCACCGCTCCCCCCCCTGCCACCTCCCATTATCCTCACCATGGGATAATGTTGCTCTCCACGTGGACATTAAATCGAGAAATCGCGACAATTTACCTTGGAGTAGAAGGCGAGGGACAGCGTGGACGTGGCATTATACACTCCATAAAGGCAATTACGAAAATTGTCGGGGTTAATTTTCCATAATGGACTGCATTAAACGAGTGACTACATGTATATATAGAGGAGGGTTTGCAGTCTTGTGTGTGTGTGAGATGTATTGGACAGAGTCAGGGCTGCCCCGGGCCCTAAAGCGCGGGGCCCGGGGCAATCGCCCCAGTTCGCCCCAGAGGTCGCAACCAGGTACCCGATACCCGTACCCTACCCGATACCCGGCTACCCGTACCCGGCCGAGTACGGGTACCCGTTTGCAACCCTGGTGCGGCCGGGTACGGGTAAACCGTGAGTCACTTGTGAGTCACCGTTTGTCACTCATTTCCCAACGTCTTGTCTCTTCTCACAATTCAAGTTCCTAAAATCAATCCACCCGCGCCTGCAACATGGCTTCATCCCAGAGGTCGCAATCAGGTACCCGATACCCGTACCCTACCCGTACCCGGCCGGGTACGGGTAGGGTACGGGTACGACCAGGTACGGGTACCCATTTGCGACCCTGGTGCGGCCGAGTACGGGTACGGTTAAGGAATCAAAACCCGTTTGCGATCTCTGGTTCGCCCAAACCCTCGGGACGGGCCCTGAATCGAGCGGCGGGGGCAGTGGTCCGCACGCTTCGCTACGAACCCGAGCCATCTGAGGTTGATTCCCGGCCACGGCTGTGAGTGGCAAGCGATGTGCGCACATGGTGATGGCACCCGCGCCACCACCCCTTCTCTCCTCCCTTCAACGTCACGGTTTGGATGGTCTCTGTAAATATTCCACGAGAAATGAAGCCCCGATATGGCCACGTGTACAAAATCCTACACATCCCAACCATGATACGTTAATTTGAAGTCGTTCAACTTAAGAGGAAATTGAAATTAAAACGGCCGTTGCAGTTACCCATATAAAGGCTGAGTGCCACAGACTGCCCACACAACTTTAAAGCGGGGTTAATGAGAAAATGATGGGTCAGGCACTCCATCATAGCGCTTTACCGACATGGTGAGTTATATTGAACACTACGGGACGGGATGCCTCTGTAGCCCAATAGTGTCACGCTTGAGTAAAATTTTAAATAGACAATGCGGCATTATTAATGATTATTAATGTGCTGTGTTCTAGTATGTCCTGCGCACGTTATGTTTGATCAGGGGTGCAGGTTTTCACCTTTTTTTCCCAGAGTCCTTTCTATTAAGGCTGCCAAATGTCTGGGAGCCTCAACCAGGACATACAATGAGCTGGCATTCCCTCCCTATATCATTCCCGCCCACTTTGACACAACTGTGCCAACCCAGCCATGTACCCAAACAGTGAGTGACCCCTCCCCTCCTCTTATGACGTTCAATACTCAAATAGCCGAGCCATGCGCCCTCGTCATTAGTCACGCATGAAGTCAGAACATTTTAACCCAACGACACTACTTTATATGGACAATGTTAAGCAACTCGTCCATTGCTTAAAATGCATTATTTCTCGTGATCTCATCTATTTTCATGCTGGAACAACTTGATCATTTTCTATGGAGGCACTGGCCAGTGTCACATCCTGCAGTTGTGCTCTCTGATGTGTTTCTGGTTGAAACCGCGTGTTGTTGTGTGATGAAGCTCCCAGCACGTACAGCGAAACGTCGGACATCATGTTGGGATTGAATGCGTAGTCACTCAGATGTGTCAGTAGGAAAAGGGAGATGCACTCGTCTGAGTAGAATTTGGCTTTTTGACTCGAACACACACACACAAAGCCGTGTCTACTTCCACGCCAAGTAATATGCGCTGCGCTGCGTCCGTACTTTGTCACGGGCAACCATATTGATGCCGCCGTCACACCCCATTTGAATATAGAACCCAGGGAATTAATCAAAACATATTACGCAACAACAAAAACAAGCGACAACATTGATTTCTCAGTGAAACAAATATAAGTAACATACGCAAAACTCACAAATTGTTGTTTTCGTAGATTTGTTTTCGTAGTCATGAGCTAATGGACCAATGCGGTTTGAAAAAAATATTCTTTCAGAATGCTCTTAGGACTAATATAATTAAAGAAAAAGTTTCGTGTATTTTCAAAAAATTAATGAAAAGTAGTCTAATTTGTGGTCTACGTCAGCCACTGATTTCCTGCTCAAATTAGCATCAAT